CATGTGCAGTGAGGGACCTGTGTGTCTGTGGAGCCCTGCCTGTCAGCATGGACTCTCTGTTCTGCATCCCAGGGCCCTGCTGAGATGACTATTCTGATGACCTCCAGAAAAGGATATCAAATCCCCTGGAACTGTAGTTTCAGATGGTTCTTAGCTTCCACAGGGGTACTAGGAATCAAAACCCAGTCCCCTGCAAGAACAAGTGTTCTTTACTACTGAACCATGTCTGCACCCCCACAGTTAGAAACATTTAAGGCCAGATTCTTTGAAAGACATATTTCAAGCTCTAAAAGATCAAAATTCTCAATCCAGAATATTATACACAGAAAACTATTAAAATCAAGGGGAAATAAAAGCGTTCCCCAGCAGAAACAGATGAAAAATATTTGTGACAGTAGGCAGCTCTACAGAGGACACTGGGGGGTAATACCTCATAGTGAAGAGACACACCCATACACATGAGGGGACATGGGCTAAATCAATCATGAGGAGGTGTTTGGATGGGAAACTCTGGGTGGCAGGAGGCTTAGCCAAAGTGAAGGGTTCCTGCATTCAAGTCTACAACATCCACACAAGAAAAAAAACTAATTTCAGGAGGATGTAGAACACAGGCAGCTTGAGAATGGAGGGCAGGTTATTTCAAATTTCAGTGGGAATATGGGGATTGAAGGAGTGGGGAGAGAAGTGAAATGCTGAGTTAGCCAAAGGTAAGGACACATGGAGAAGCCTTATGGAACTTCACTACGTTGTAAGCTAGCAAACATAAAGGAGTTTGAACTCAGTATATGCATGGGTGAACACTGTTGTTCTCAGAAGAAATGGGTTAGGTTGGTCCTGGTAGCACATGGTTTAATCCCAGCACTTAGGAAGCAGAGACAGGAGGATTTCCTTTGGTTTGAAGCCAGTCTGGTCTTCTACATAGGGAGTTCCAGGACACCCAGGACTACATAGAGAGACCCTGTCTCAAAACAAAACATAAGTTATTAAAAGAAACCTAGATGCCTTGGTGAGGGAGACTCTAGAGAACAGAACACAAGCCAGGCTGCTCACTGCCTTTGTTCCTGGCCTTCCACCATGACTAGACGTAAGATCTTATTGCTGAAGACCCACTTATTTTAGATGTAGTGCAGAGAAGATTCCATCTTTCCCATTCAGGAACTCTGTCCTGCTGAATGGCTTTCCTAGCAGGGAGGCTGCTATGCCAGCTGTTGTAGGGAGGCCGAGCTCGGGGTTGTCATCCTGAGCCTGGTATGTGCTGAGCTATGGATGGACTTCAGTCCCTGTCTCAGCCTGTCCCCGCATGGAGGAACACTGCACAGCTTGTAACCTCCTGCACTCTGAGCACTCTACATCCTGGACATCTCTGCCACCCAGTGTCCCAGGCCCCAGTCCTGGGCCCCACACCACAACATCAGCCTTTCAGATAGATCTTCCAGTGTGAGAGGTCCATGGTATGCAGTGCTGAAAGACCTACACCCTCATGTTGGACACTGCCTAAGGGTTGGTGAGAGCCAGGCCTGGTTCTTAGATCTGTGTCCATGAAGTACATGTCCAGAAACATTGACAAATGGGCCATAGCCACCTCCACATCATCAGACCCTCTGTCCCCTCAGCCCTGATTACTCTTTCCCTCTGCCTGGTCTCTAGTGTCTTCCCATGAGGCAACTGCCACACACACAGGCTCAATCAGAACACAGCCTAGTTCCCACCATGTGGTCCCAAAGGCTCTTTCATGCTCCTGTCTCCCTGCCTTACCCTGTCCTGTCGCCCTGCCCAGCCAGCTGTCCCTGTACCAGGGAAGGCGGAGCCCAAGCAATACTCCTTCTCACAGACTCTACTCCTTTAGACCTGTGGTACTGTTTTCTCTCTGCTATCTTACTGGTCTGTGTCTTACTGTACTGGTAAGCATTGTTACTAGGAACAAAGTAGAGACCTGGAAAGTTACCTGTGACTTAGAGTTGAGATGAAAGGCCAGGCCTGGTAGATGTTATGTCCCCCAGCCATTGTGTCCCTGAGCTCTGGCCCGAGAACTGGCCTGAGTTCTCTCAGGTGCCAGCTGGTTTTGCCTATCACCTTCTTTACTCTGTGTTTGGACATTATTTGGACAATTCCTGATAGGGTTCTATCCCTTAGTACACACTGACCACAGAGTATCATTCCTGCATTCAGATAGCATGACGTGGAGTATAGGGCCACGAAGTGGCAGTGACTGTGGATTGAGAGCCCTTCAGGCTGCTCACTAAGCTCCAGTAAGAAGTGTCCAGACTGTGTCATCCTCAGTGTGCCTCCCAAGGACAAAGGCCTGAAGGCTAGGCAATGGGTTTGAGGTTCAGACAGGTAGGTAGGTGCTGTGTGTGTGTCTGTGTGGAGCTGGGTGCTGTGGCCACGTGTCTGTAGGTGCATGGCTTCCATCTTAGAGTGTGTGCCAGGGCCTTCATTTGAGTACCAGATGGACCACATTGCTGCACGTTTGTCTATCTGTCTCCTCTAGCCTTTCCCTTCCTTATGTCTGTCTCTCTTGCTTGCATATGTCTTTCTGTCCCTGTCTCTTTTCCCTCCTTGTGTCTCTCTGTTCTTCTGGTTACCTCTCATCTCTCCATCCCTGTATTGTCTCATTCTCTCTGTACTTCTGTGTCCCTTGATCTCCTTCTCTGTCTCTTACATATTTTTTTTTGTGTGTTAAGATCAAGCTGTACCCAGCTTTATATTACTCATGTTGTGTGAAGTAGTGGCTTTTTAAAAAGATTGTTCCTTGCTCTGAGAGGTTTCACTTTTTCAAATGGCCTTTGACTCCGTTTGGAAGCCGGAAGATGACAAGGCTCCCTGGTGGATAAGGAAATGACATCACCTGCACAGCACCTTCCAAAGGCACAGCCCGATGAATAACTTATCCCTAAATTCGGTGTCAGCCTTTAAATTTATGAAAGATGATTAAGATTATAGGAATACATGGATCATTAAAAATCATACCAGGAAAACTGGGCTGGAGAACTTACTGTACACATCCAACTAAAGAAAGGTGCCATATCTTCACCAGAACCCATGGAGAGGAGGACACCTAACATTGTAATGGCAATGACTCCACTAAACTGTCATTTGATAACCTGGTATATACATCAAGAGATCCAGAGGCAGAGAATTCCTGACTGTCCCAGAGCCTTCTTTGACTCAATACCCAATGTTGGCATGGTTCATTATATTACACTTGACTGTCTGTTCATTAGCCTGTCTGGACTCCATCTTGTCCTTTGCCTGCATGATCTTTAGCATCTTGAAGGTTGCTTCTGTACTTGAGTGAACCCTGAAGCTCAGTTCAGGTTTGATCTTACAGCTTACTCTACAGAGAGACTCCACTGGGGTCTCTAACAGATTTCTAGTATCTATTATCTTCTGTTCTACTCTGTAGATGCTTCTGTTTTCTGCATAAAATTTCTTGTCACCTTATTAGCTTTTTTTCAGGCTTATCAAGAATCCAGAAGGCTGTTCTGATAGTGGAGAACCAACATCAGTGTGGGAAACATTCCGGGAGGTCATGTGCAGTGAGAGACCTGCCTGTCTGTGGAGCCCTGTCTGGCAGGAATGAACTGACCATTCAGCATCACCAGGGCCTCCATGAGCTGACTCTTCTAGCCCTCTGCCAGAATAGCTGTGTGGCCTTGAGTGATGCTGGCTGACCTCAGGCTGGTCTGGGTTGTCCCTGGCTGACACTGCTTGACACTGGTTGACCCTGGGAAGACCATACTTAATCTTAATTGGACTTGTTCTCATTGAGACAGAAAATGGCCTCACTAAGGCATGACTGTGGATAGATAGCTGTGGATAGCCTTGGGTGATGGGGGATTGGGGCCTCCTGAATCCCTGGCAGGGCTCCCCTGGCTCTGACCCCTCTTCCAGGCCCCAGGCCCACCTGGCCTGGTCTGGTAGGGTGTGATTCTCAGAACGGTAGCTCTGGTTTGGGGCACCTGGGCTGAGACAGGCTCAGGATGACTCAACTGCTCTCAGCTCAGAGCTATTTTGAGTGTTTCAGCAGGTGATAGACAACAGAGACTTCAGAAGAAAGAAAAACAAGTTACTATATGACCATCCCTGCCCTACCCCCACACCTGTACTGTAAGCCTCCTCCATAGTGTTGACCCCAGACATTGAGATCCTAGGATAGCAGGTGGTAGACAAAGAAGGCTCCAGAGGGGAGAAAAATAATATCTACAAACTCTTCCCTGCCCTATACCTGCCCTGCAAACCTTCCCCACAATGCTGACCCCACATCTGTAGACCCCATGGACAGAGGTTCCAACTCACAGTTCCAACCTCAAGCCTGGGCTTGCTATGTTTCCATTCAGTGCCTCTGAGCTTGGGAAAGACAGATGAGCAAAGGGGTCACTGTCCCAGTGTAGTCCCGGGTGTGGACAGTGTTGTGGGGGTTCTGGAATCTTCTGCAGGAATCCCCTGTAGGGATCTTCCTAATGAGAATGAGGCATGGAATAGCAAAGAGACTTCTTGTAAAATACCACTGATTCCTTGGGCCTCAGACAATGGATGTGAGGTGAGGACCAAGGTCCAGGACCAGTGTGGATAAGCAAAGTTCAGGCTTAGAAGTCAATCCCAATGATTAGGTCAGGGCCAGTCATTCAGTACAGGACCTGGTTATTAGAACCAGAATCCAGTACTTAGGACTAGGACCCACTGTCCTTGCCCAGAACTCAGTGCTGTGGACTACGGTCAAATGTCTATGACCAGAGCAAAGACCTAGTGACCAGAATCTTGGCCCAGTCATCAGAGTGTCGGTCTGATTATCATCTTTCAAGTGTACTGCTGAAGACCAGGGCTTAGTGATGAGAATCAGCACTCAGTGATCAGGACTGGATCTGGTGATAGGAACCCAGGAACGCTGAATTGGTTGTAGGTGTCCCAGTAGAGAGAGAAGCTCACCAAGATGCTAAGCCTTCATTTTCTGAAGGAGCAGAGGGGTTCATCCTTCTCGGAAAAAAGATCGACTCCTGTTAGCTTACTGCAGTTACTTTATTCAAACATTATACAGAGTTAATTTGGGCTGGGAAAGGTTCCGACTACCAAAGTTATCTTGCCCTGCTGTGAGAGAGCGGACCACCTGCACAAATCTTAGTCCCTTTCAACCATGGCTAGCCATAGTCAAAAGTAAGAATTCTAACTTTGCCAGGAGTCTTTTAGAACCAATGTCTGCACAGCTGCAAACTTTCATGTGCAGATTGTCCAGGGTGACATTTCTTCATGGTTCAAACAGCCTCAAAAACATTTCTCAGCCTCTACTGCTTAACCCAAACATAGCAAAGGCTCTGCTGAAACATTTCACTCAAAGGCTTTACTATACATTTCACTACACATTATTTCCAAACAGGGTTTAGTGATCAGGATCGGGGGTCTATGATCAGGTCATGACCCAGTGACCAGTATCACGGCCTAGTGATTAGGAACGGGGACTAGTGATCAGGTTGGCTGTTAATGATCAAAACCAGTCATCAGTGATCAAGACTAGGCTTAGTGATGAGAACCAAACCCAGTGATCATGACCAGGATTCAGTGACCCAGATCAAGGTTCAGAGCTCAGGACTAAGGACCAGCTATTAGAATGAGTGTCCAGGACCAGGGCTTCATGATCATGACTGAGGTCAGGGGTCAGGATCATGGTTCAGTTACCAAAATAGGGCTCAGTGATCTGGACCAAGGTTCACAACCAGGACCAGGGTTTGGTGTTCACTGTTTTCCAAGGATGTTCACAGAGGCCAAATATTTAGAAGTCAGGTCCAGAGATCAAGCTAATGACCTGGTATCGGGTCTGAAGTGGCCACAAATACTTGTTGAAGCCAGTGTTGGTTGCAGCTACACATATGCTCAAGTTATGTCTCAGGCACTAGACAGTGGGCACCTTGTGTCTACCCTGCCCAACACTGCCACGTTCTACGATGTAAGCAACTATTTAGCATGGTACTACTACACTTTCCCTGACCCCTCCCCCAATCCTTTGTTAATGTTTGTTTTTGAGAGGAAGAAATTGTGCTTTTGCATCCATTTATTGCTTAGGGAAGTATGTGAGTGGGATGGGAAGTTGTCACATCAGTCTTAGCTCTGAAACGTGGAGGACTTTCTCCAAGCTTCATCCCTGCAAAGACAAGAGTCATCAGCCAGAGGGGATCCTGGAGTTGGGTTATGTCTTCACTTTCGCTGATGTCCCATCCTGGCTTCTGAAAGACTTGATTAAATTCAGGAAATGGCTTCTGGAAGACTGGGTTAAATCCAGGAAATGGCTTCTGGAAGACTGGGTTAAATCCAGGAAATGGCTTCTGGAAGACTGGGTTAAATCCAGGAAGTGCTGCCATCATTTTCTTCCACTTCCTTCATGGCTGTGAAGGGTTGTAAAGCCACATGTGGAGGGGCCGAGTAAATCCTGAACGTCCCTGCCCCAACCCTGTACCCCACCATCTCCATGACTGCCACCTGTGGCTGGCTCCTGGTCAGTACTGGGGGACCTCTTTGCTGCCAAACGGGCCTCGCACAGTTGTAACAGTCAGTGCTGTACTGTAGAACAAGCTGAGCAGGAAGAGGGTGAGGAAGGTCACAGTGGTGGGCCACAGGCTGGCACCCGGGGTCTCTTCCTCCAGGACGTCTTCTGACTGATCCAGTAGCAAATAGGAAAGTAGCTCTTCACGCTCTGTAAGACATAGATGACCTTCTAGATCCAAACCCATGGGGATGGGGGGCTCAAGCTTAAGGCCTCTGTTTCTATGCCTCCTTGGGCTTTGGGGATGGTGGTGGTAGGGCTTCCTTATCCCTGGGAAGGGACTTGTCCAGGGATACTGAGGAAGCAGGGTCCCAGGTAAGGGGCTGGAATTCTTGCAGTTCTTGAGATGCCCCCAAGACACCCCCCCCTCTCAGGGGAACTTAATTAGAGAACTGTCATGGTAAGAGACTTTGCAGCTCTGAGGAGAGTTTGAGCCCAAGGCTACTTGAGTCTCAGTCTTCTCTAGATATTTAGGAATACCCCACTAAGCCCCAGTTCTTAGGCTAAACTTGGCCTTGGTACTAGGGTTGGGTAAGGTCAGACACCCTCGAATAGATACAGGCCAACCTGATTTCTGGGCCAAGGTTGGACTACCAAGGGCTAGACATGTGGTCAGAGGGTTCTGTTGCATTATTAAGAACGGTGACTGGGGGATTAAGCAACAGTAAAGGCCCCCAGTAGAGACAACCCCGCTATCCTCAGGGTCTTCGCGCATAGAGCTTTCATTTTAAGTGGAAGTAGGAACTGTGTGCTGATAACCAGTCACTCCTATTTCTATCACCTCAGCCATCCATCAATCCATCCACCATCCCCGTCGTTCATCTGTACAGCCATCCACGCACCCACCCTCCAGCCGCTCACTCATCTCCTCACCCACCAGCTTGCCTCTCTCCCAACTGTTGTGATTCTCCTGTTCTCCGCCTCCTCTCCCTGTGTGGATCCAGTCTTTCTCCTATTGGCTCCTCCTTACTAGACTTCTCTGTGATGGGCCAGGCCTTGGGTTCTGTGGGTGACTTTAATACTTTTCTGGGTCAGGTTTCCCAAGTTAGTCTGTTGCTTTTGCTATTCTCAGGGAACTGGACTTTCGAGCTAGAGAGTATTCCAGGGTGTGCATGGGCCTTTACTCTTGCTCTGAGAGTACAGGGAAGTTGCTAGAAACCAGCCTCCCCACCCCCCTGGAGAGGTTCTGAAGGCCTGTAAGACAGGAGCAGGGGCCCCACTGCCCTCTTGTGGGCATCGGGGTGGCAAGTATACCTGGTTGTAGAACTTTGTGTTCTAGAGGTGCTCATGAAGGAGACATTCAAGGCCTGTGTGGTAGTGGTCTCCATGGCCTGCTCCTGCTTCTTCCCAGATTTGTCCCCTACCCTGCTTCTGGTTTGTTATACTTGGGCTCAGGATGGGATGGGAGATTTAGGTTAGAAAGGGGGCACCTGGAGGGGCCTATGGCCTTGTCCATGAGTTGTGTGTAGTTATCAGTGCTGGGCCTGGGAATTCTACTGGGGGATTGGAAGGGGACTCCCCTTGCTTTCCAGAAGTTGGGTGTGGGTTGTGAGCTTCGTCCTCCTCCAGGGTTCAGGTCTGTGTGAGTGTGCAAATGTGAGTGTATGTGCATATATGCTCAAGTGCACATATGCAGAGCAGGGTGTATGCCCATGTACATGTATGCAGAAGAAGGTGTATGCCTGTGTGCATGTATGCAGAAGAGGGTGTATGCCTGTGT